TTTCAAAAATTATTCAAACTTTTTTTTTTTTTTTTTTTTTTAAGTATATTTACTTCTGTCCTGAGAGAGAGGCAACTCCAACAAGGCCTTTATACTACAAGCCACCCTCTAGTCTCAGTCAGCCTGAATCTTGGGGAAGCACAAGCATACCCATTGTGCAGACAGGTCCTGGGGTGCGAACTCAGGACCTTCTCTCCTGTGGGTCTAGTTGTGTTACCACTGCACGACTGCCTGGCCCTATAAAAGTCTTAATATCCTTAAGGTCCTGAGGTTTGCACTAACATTTCAAATGAATACTTAGTCTTAAGCCTGTAGTTTTGTGTATAACGCAGGGCTTCTTGTTTGGTATGTGCATTAATTGAAAACTGTATTTGAAAAGTAGATTTGTTACACAGTTCAGAAAGACCTTGGGGAAGTTGAGCATTCATGCAGAAACATGCTTATGACTCACCTAGATGAATTTCTTTGTAGTGTAGTACAGAGGTGGTATGCAATGAAATCTCAGCATTTGATCCATAAACCTCAACAGACAATTCTGACCTGAGGCTGACTCCTATGACTGCTGTGACACTGGTTGAATAAGTTCTGATCTGGCCTGTAGCAACAGTTCTGCGGATGAGTAACATCAGAAGCACACAGGACTATTCTTGTAGTTCTCTAGTTGTATAATTAAGGTTGATTGCAAGTATTTGAGTCAGGTGAGCCACTAAAAAATATGTGTGTATGTGTAAGCCTAGAAGCTGTTGTGAAATTTTCGTTGACATAGCAGCTGTCATCAGGACAGCTTCAGTAAAATATTAATAAAAGTTTTATAAATTGTATCTGATCTAGCTAAGAAAAAAAAAAGAGAAATGTTTTTTAAAAGAATGTTTCAGCTTCTTGCTTCCTTTTTTTGTTTAATCCCCCTACACACACAAAATAAAGTCTGAAAAGATTGATAAGGAATTAAGTAGTGTTGTCATATGGGTTACCTAGGTTGAGTTACATAATAAACCAACAACTTTTAGGTATTATTTCCTAAGTTCTAATTAAATTTAGACTTGCCGTGGCCACATAGATAATAACATGTTTCATTCTCATACTAAAGAGTGGGTTTGGGGATTTAGTCCTGGAAAGTCACTGTGTCCTTCACTTCCTGAGGGCTCAGAGAACCTGCGTGCATTCCGAGGACTAAAGATCATTAGAATCACCGTCTGAGTGACTGACAGCCTGTCCTTCGCGGGAACAGTGGAGGCCGAGTTAGAGGAGGAAACATGGGCTCCAGGAACAAGGATCCAGAGTGCATGTCTGTGACTTGATGGGCTAGGCTGGATGGGAATTGAAGGGGTCCATTTGGTTTCATGTCTGTCCTTTCCTGGTGTGAGGCACCTATAGCACTGAGGTCCGAAGCAGGCCGATGCTGCTTTATTATTTTCTTTTGGTAATGGTCTTCAGACCTCTGTGAGTTAGGTATAGAAATATGGACACAGTGGAAGCCAGGCCCATAATCCATTGGAGAAAGAATCGATGTTTAGGTATCTATTGTGTTCTGATCATTGTCCCAAATATGTTGTATTTGCTCACTTAGAATTTACAGTAAGACAGCCAAAGGAGCTGGCATAGGCTCTCTCTCTGCAGACATACGGAAAAACAGGGTACCAATTATGGAAACCATATTTGTATGTGCTGTCTGTATAAAGCATTAAATTATTCGTTTATTTGTTTATACATGCTTGCATACCTTGTATCAGGAATGGAAAAATAGGAGTCATGGCTTCTTATGACAATGGAATTTGAGCCTCTTGCCAAGAGGTGAAGCTTCGAAGGTCTGTCTGCCTTTGAGAAGAAGACTGGGAAAATTTTCCCCATTAATCTTGAAACAGCAAAGTTTGACATATTTGATATATTGGATTGGGAAATGATGGTGTATCCATCCATGAGAAATTGAAACCAAAATATTCAAACTTGGAGTATGCATAGGTGAATTGAAGCACAGAGGTGGCTCTGTGGTGTGAGAACCCCAACTCAAGAAACTGGTCTAGAACCATTTACATTCCTAGATGCAGACACGAAACCAAATAGAATACGTTCAGCCTAGGATTTCATACACAGTAAAACTCATTCAAATATGAATGGGATAGATGTTTCTAGACAATGTTGAGTTTATCACTTGGAACCCTCAATAAAAGGACTGGTAAAATGCCTTTTGAAAAGTAGTTTGTACTGACGGGTAGGAGGTAGAACTCATTAAGCTATGGTTAAGAAAGAAGTTAGTGAATATTCTGGTAAATTTAGATAACTGATTATTTAAAATTTAATGGGTGAGGCCAGCAGGTGGCATGGTGGTTAAAGCACTGGACTCCTACATGGCCAACCATGGTTTTAGGACTAGACCTGACAGCTTGCTTTCTCACTTTGTCTCTTTGTCTCTCTCTCTCTGGTGAACACATCTCCTGTAGCAAATTTAAAAAAAAAATAATAATAATAAAATAAAATAATTCTTTAAAAAGTGTAATAGATGAAGATTGAAACATACTGTAAAAAATTATGATAATTTAACAGGTATAGAGATTATGATTAAAGGATTCTAGGGCTAGCAGGTGTCATGGTAGCTGGGGGTGCTGGACTCTCATGAGGCCAACTGTGCAATTCAAGCCCTGGACCTGTTAGCTTGAAAATCATTTAGGGTGTGTGTGTGCATGCATGCCCAAAATCCTGAGAGAATAATGGAGGAGAAAGGATTTTGTTGTGGCCATCCCTCCTCACTTTCCTTCTGTCTGTGTCTCTGGTGAGTACATGTGCTCTATGGCCAAAAAGAAAGAAAAAATTATTTTCAAATTACAGGGACCAGTAGATGGTGAAATGGCTATGTTGCTGGATTCCCATGTAGTCGACTGCAGTTCAAGTCCCAGACCTGGTGACTTAAGCTCACGCCAGGCACATGTACGTGCATACCCAAGATCCCAAGAGGAGAGTAGAGAAAAAAGGATTGCGGTGTGACCATCACCCCAAGGGGTGATATCTGGCTTTCTGTCTCTGTCTCTCTGGCTTTCTGGTGAGCACAAGCACCCTATAGCAAAAACCTATCAAAAAAAAAATTATAAAGGGAACCAGCAGTTAGCGTAATGGCTATGTCACTGGACTCCCACGTAGTCGACCGCGGTTCGTGTCCCGGACCCGGTGGCTTAAAACTCACGCTGGGCGCGTGTGCGTGCATGCCCAAGATCCCGAGGGGAGAATGGAGGAGAGGGGATTGCGGCGTGACCATCCCCCCTGGGGGGTGATTTCTCGCTTTCTGTCTCTATGTCTCTCTCTGTCTGTCTGGCGAGCGCACGCGCCCTACAGTGAAAATCTCTCAAAAAAAAATTATAAAGAAATTTACATTTAGAAATTAGTGGTAATCACTATACACTACCTTAAGAAAAAAATCTACTTACATCTAACATTTGTGACCACATGATAGAACCATATATATAAATAGTACATTTTGCAGGTTCCTGACATGAAGTTTTAGGGTAAAGAAGCAGGGCCACACAGTGGCTGCCTCCTTGTTTGTGCTAGGAGAGAGCTCGGTACTAACTCTTTTGTACCCCTGCTCCTCCTCTACTTCTGTTCTCCCCGTACTGAGGGATAGACGCTGAAAGAAAAGCAGGACAGTATGACGGATTACAGAAAAACAGAGGTGGGGATGCTATAATCCTAAAGCCTATCCTTCTGGAGAACAAACAGTAAAACATGTTTGACTGAGATATGTCCTGGGAGATTCTGGGCTGTTGCTCATCTCTCTTTGAAAAATGATTCAAAGAGATGAATCTCATGGCCTCATTTGCCTCCATCTTGCTGCTAAAAAGGTTCTGGGGGAGGGCTTGAAGCTCTTTCATGGTGGTGTAACTAGAAAGATACAGCTAAATGGGATGAGAAAATTGGGCAGTAGTATGTAAAGCAGTCTTCCTTCCATTCTTTCAGCTTTTTACATGTAATGGAAAAGTTCTGAGTGTTCTCCAACTGCAAAATGTATTGGCCTTGACTGTAATTAGAAGCCTGACCTGATGATCATTGGGTTCTTTGCAAAGATAGCAAATCAGTGTTCCCAAGGTTTAGCTCTTTTTTTGTTTTGTTTTATTTTATAAAGAGGGTAGACACAGTATCTGTCCTTTTTAACTTGCTAGACATTACCTTTCTCCCTCCTTCTTCTTGTTGACTTTCGCCGTCAAGCTTCTCTTCTTCATCTCCACTCTCCCGGCCCTGAGATGACAGTCCTTCTCGCTCCTCTGTGACTGTTTTAGTGCCTATCATACTGTAATTGTCATTTATTTTTCTTTCTTTCTTACAAGTTGACCAGCTCCTACAGAGCACAAGTGGTACCTCATATCCCTTATCTCCAAGTCAGTACTTATTGTCTTGGATAATATCTGGCACATAAAAAGTATTCAAATGTTAAGTAGAAATGTTCAGAATTTAACCTTTTGGATGAAAAACAAATGTGACAAATAAGTCTCAACATTTTTTACTTTTAAATTATTTGAGAGACTTTTTTGCATTTATATGCAAAACTTGACAGCTAATATTTCATTTAAGTGTTGCCTCTGACATTTCACATATCTCTGTGGCCTGCTATAAATAGGGAAGATTCATTTATTGCCACTACTCAAACACTAGGTGCTCTGTTTATTTTGTTTTTTAGTAAAACCCATGTCCATTGCTCTTTTTTTAGTGTGAATACAGGCAGTTATTCATTTGTAAACTAGATTGATTTGCTTGGGAAATGGATTTTTCTATACGACAAAGCCATAAGAAATTTCTGTTTGCCTTGCCTGTTCCTAGAAAGCAGGGATAATCACTAATGAGATGAATGAAAGTGAAGAACATTACCTTTTCAAGGAAATTGTGATACAAATGATCAAGGAATCAAGTAATATCTGGGAATCAGTTGCTCTGACTGCCAGGTCTGACTGTGTTTCTTACTTAGTGACTTTGGGCATGTCATTCATTCTCTGTGTGAGAAAGGAAAGGGAGGGAGAAAGGGATCTGCTACACTTGGCCTACAGTTTCAGTGAGCTGTGGTCCTGGTGATGTGCAGGAAAGAGGAGACACAGTATCCAAATTCAGAGGAAAGTGCTGTTGTGGAAGTACACTTTTCTTTTTTCTTTTTTTTGGAGAGGTTTTTGCCATAGGGCGCGTGCGCTCACCAGACAGAGAGAGACAGAGAGATAGAAAGCAAGAAATCACCCCCCAGGGGGGATGGCCACACCTCAATCCCTTCTCCTCCATTCTCCTCTTGGGATCTTGGGCATGCACACACACGCGCCCAGCATGAGTTTAAGCCACTGGGTCCGGGATGTGAACCGCGATCGGCTACGTGGGAGTCCAGTGACATAGCATTACACTAACTGCTGGTCCCATGGAAGTACACTTTTTAAAAACTCTGTTAAAGGGTCTGTACTGATGGCTCTTCAGGTTCTCTCTGGCATGTGTACATACATGCATGCACACTTGAAGAAAGTGGATTTCTAAGCCCTACTAAAATTGGATGTTGTTTGCCTTTTTATCGAAAGAATCAGAGTTTTGAGGAATTAGATCAGAAAACAGAAATAATTATCTAACATCTATTAATAATGTTACTGCCTCAGGTTCAAGATGTTGTTCCTATAACTAGTTATGACACTGCTGGGTCATTCCTTCTACTGGGATGTAACAATGGATCAATATACTACATAGGTAAGTGTACAGACACTTAAAACGCTCCTATTTAATATGATCTTTAAAATCTCAACAAGAAAACCTTACTTTTTTAGTTGTAAATGGATATATTGCTCATGTTTACGCTATGGAAAATTTTTATTTTTTAGATATGCAGAAGTTCCCTTTGCGAATGAAGGATAATGATCTTCTTGTAACGGAACTTTATCATGATCCTTCTAACGATGCTATTACTGCTCTGAGTGTTTACCTCACGCCCAAAACAAGTTAGTATATTGTCGATTACAATTCTAGAAGTTGGTTGAGAGTTTGTTTTTATTCATTAGCTTATTATGTGGCTAGGTAAAACTAATCTGCTCCTTTCTTTTAAGAACTGCTGTGCTAAGGCTTTCTTCTCTATTAGTTTAAAATTTATATGTGGTCTTATATGATGTCAAGTACGATGAGTAAACAAATGTACTTTGAGATGGGAAATTAGAACTTTTCCCCTGTGATTGTATTTGTTAAACCCCACTGTTGCAGTGTTAACTGAAATTAGAAAGAAATCTTGTGCATATTTCTCTTTTAATTAAAATAATTTATTATAGTATGAAGATAGAAGCTTATTATTTTCATAACAACAACAAAAAAAAAACAAATAGCTCTTAGACTTAGACCATTCCTCTGTATTGGGAAATGAGCTTATTTCTTTGGGAATTTTAAAGGTTAAGTTGTAGGAAAAAAAAGATGTTTTATGTGGAAGTTTAAACTCATTGCCTTTCAGAGGCCATTGCAATAAAAATAAGTGTTAAAAATTTTTGTATTTTACGGTGAAAGGTAAATATAAATGGGAAATTTAAAATTTGTATGTAAGTCATGTTTACATTTTGATGATGGCCATTAGTATATGTTCATCTTTCGCTAGAACATAGGAATAAGTCAGTGGAAACAACCGTTACTAATATATTTTTTAAAGAAATATTTATTTAATTTTATTTATCATTATTATTTGTTTTTATAATTTGCTTTAGGATACACACTCTCACCAGGGAGAGACAGAGAGTGGGAGAGAAAAAAGTGAGAAAGGGAGCTACTGGGTCGGGGACTTCGACCATGTGGGAGTCTTAACACCTTCACCAACCATGCCACCTTCTGGCCCCCCCTTACTAATATTTTAATGGTATAGAGCTGATAATGTTTTTTCTTAAGAGCATTACATTTAGCATTCTCTGTTGCTTTATGTTTAAATTGAGCATAAAAGAAATGCAATATTTTGGGACCAGCAGCTGATGTAATGGCTTTGTTGCTGGACTCCCATGTAACTGACCATGGTTCGAGTCCTGGTCCTGGGGCTTAAACTCATGCCAGGTGCGTGTGCGTACATGCCCAAGATCCTAAGAAGAGAATGGAGGAGAAGGGATTGTGGTGTGGGGCCATCCCCCCAGGGGGTGATTTCTCGCTTTCTGTCTCTCTCCGTCTTTCTGGTGAGCACATGCTCCCTATAGCAAAAACCTCTCCCCCCCCAAAAAAAAAAAAACCCCCCCCCCCCCCAAAAAAAAAAAAAAAAAAAAGAAAAGAAAAGAAAGAAATTCAGTATTTTAATCATAACTGTGGATATGTTTGCTGGAAGCCTACTGCTCTTTTTGTTTTCTGTGAAATTTTTGTCCCTAAGAAAAGTAGGATTGCAATTTTCTTAATAGTTGAGTTGATGTGGTATATTCTTTGTTATCAAAATATTCCAGGCTTTGGGACTTCTTCTAACTATAAATATTTATGAGTGTGAGAAAGCATCATACATGCTGTAAACCTCAGTCACATGAAGTTGGGTGGTGTGTCTGTACACAGACAGGACCTAGAAGGACAAAGCAAATGCCCAATTCGTGATTGTGATGACTTTGCTCTTTGCTTCTTGTGTTTTTCAGTTTCCTGTAATGCGTTTATTAACTTAAACAATAAAAGTTAAAGGTTATTTTTAAAAAACGATCTCTACTGAAAGGTACTGTAAGGAATATTAAGGTCTCCAGTAACGTTAATAGATTCAAATGTGTTATTACCGTATGTTGTCTTTGACTACTTTTGTGCCACAGTGACAGAATTGAGAGGTTTTGACAGAGACAATATGACATGCAAAATTTAAAATACTCGCTATCAATCTCTTTTGTCAAAAAGTCTGCTGCCTTATGCTTAAAACAGAGATGTGGATTTTTAAAAATTTTTTTTGTTTTTGTTTTTATTTTTTGCAATCTTGTTAAACAGTGGATACAAAATTAAAAGTTTTACAGGTCTTTTATGGTGGCAAGGGAAGACATGAAAATGGAGTCATTGTTCAGATTATATACAAAGTGTTTTCTATAGCATACCCTTTTTTCTTTGATTCATTTATTTTTAGGTGAAAGAACAGCTAGTAAAGCTAAGAGGTTCTCTTACCTTTTTAAGAATACAAGTCACTGAGCTCTCTTCTGTTTAATTTTGTGATGGAGTTGAGCACTTAAAATGAGAAAAAAAAAAGTCACAGCAGAATTTGACCTGGTTAGTTGTACATGATTAGAAGAGGCAACATAGGTAAGTATGATATAAATGTTCTCATGGGTGTGTTTATTCCATATTTCAGTGTTTTGAAATTGTTAAATAATATATACTAACAATTTGACTATTCAGGGATAATTCAATATTTTAAAACATATGTTGAGTACCTCCTGTGTCTCAGGCACTCTGTAAGGAGACAGATGAAAACAGCAGCTTTGCAAGGACAGCTTTCCTTTTATTGTCATCTAACACACCATCCTTCACCTTTTGAATCTGTGTAGGTGTCAGTGGTAACTGGATTGAGATTGCCTATGGTACGAGTTCCGGAGCAGTACGAGTGATTGTGCAGCACCCAGAGACTGTGGGGTCTGGGCCTCAGCTTTTTCAGACTTTCACAGTTCACCGAAGTCCTGTTACAAAAATCATGCTTTCAGAGAAGCATCTTGTATCAGGTAAAGGGATTTTATTAGTATTAATAAGGAGTGATAACTTTGTACAATACATAACTTTTTTTATATTGCTACAATTTTTTTTTTTTTTTGAGAGGTTTCTGTTATAGGACACATGTGCTCGCCAGGGAGACAGACAGAAAGCGAGAAATCACCCCCCGGGGGGATGGCCATACTGCAATCTCCTCCATTCTCCTCTCGGAATGTTGGGCACACACACACACACACACACACACACGTGCTCAGCATGAGTTTAAGCTACCGGGTCCAGGACTCAAACTGCTGTTGACTACATGGGAGTCCAGCAACATAGCCATTATACCAATTGCTGGTTCCAAATTTTTTTTTTTTTCTAATTTTTCTTTTAGAGAAATTTTTACTAAAGGGTGCATGTTTTCGTTAGAGAGAGTGAAAGAGACAGAAAGCAAGAAATGCTGGGAGAATGACCATGCTACAATTCCTTCTCCTCTTGGGATTTTGGGCACGCATGCACACGTGCCTGGCATGAGTTTTAAGCTGCTAGGTGCAGGACTTGAACCATATAATCAGCCACATGGGAGTTGAGCAACATAGCCATTACACTATCTGCTGGTCCTAATACTCCTAAAAATTAAAATGGTGTAAAAGCTGTGTTTTATTTGATAAAAATATACTAAAGGAGGGGCCGACAGGTGGCATGGTGCTTAAGGGCGCTGGACTCCCACGTGACCGACCCTGATTCAAGTCCTTTATCTGGTGGCTTGCTTTCTCACTTTCTGTCTCCCCCCCACTCTCCCCCTCTCTGGTCAAATTAAAATAAATAAGTAAAGTTAAATAAAATAATTATTTAAAAAGCTACTGAAAGAAATGGTAGAGTAGTAATTGAAGAAATGTTATGATTGTCTTTTTTTTTTTTTTAAAGACTTACTTAGTCATATTTACTACTATTATTTTTTAATTTGATGAGAGAGAGAGAGAGAAAGGATAAATGAGAAAGCAAGCTGCCAGGTCCAGGACTCAAACCACCGTCAGCCATGTGGGAGTCCAGTGTCTTAACCACCTTGCCACCTGATGGTCCTGTGATTGTCTTTTAAAGACTTCTTTGGTTTTGCCTAATTATAGGATACCTAAATTTGGAACATATGTCTTATATTTACTCAGTATTCTAATGTCTTGGTTCTTGTGGCATATTGTATTTCCCATTTAAGAAGGATTTTTTTTTTATTTAAGAAATCCTCTAAGTTTGTATTTTAAATCAATGTACTTTATTGCCTTAAGGTTTAAAGTTGTAGGCTTAAATGTGTATTTTGGCTTTGATCATCTTGCAAAAATATGAAAAATTAGTAAAATGTATAAAGACATTATTTGGAGAAAACATTTGTTGAGTTTGCAGTTATCACATAAAAGTTTCAAAATTGGATACTAGGCGTAAAAAAATAAATACTAATCTTTAAGTTTAATGAGTGCTACTTTTAAATTTCTTACTTTTTTGCCAGAGGGTGCATGCACTCTCCAGACACAGAGAGAGAGGAAAAGTGTAAAAGCACCCCCAGTAGAGAATGTAGTAATCCCTTTTCCTCCACTTTTCCCTCCTCTCAGGATTTTGGTCACGCACGCACGCATGCATACACGCACATGTGCCCAGTGTGTTTTTCAAACTACTGGATCTCGGACTCGAACCACATGGTCACCCATATGGGATCCAGCTTAATTACCTAACCACCAATGAAGGACTGGGCCTTTACGAGTAGTATTTTCTGATTACACCATAGGATTCCTTTGATGAATTAATTGTATATGACAGATGATTTCTACCAGATTTCGTGAAAATTGAATTGTCAGTCAGATACATCAGTAAAGTTTGTTTTTTAGGGTAGTCTTTTATTTATTTATTTATTTATTTATTTAGAGACAGAAAGCGAGAAATCACCCCCCAGGGGGGATGGTCACACCACAATCCCTTCTCCTCCATTCTCCTCTCCGGATCTTGGGCACGCACGCGCAGGCACCCGGTGTGAGTTTTAAGCCACCGGGTCCGGGACACGAACAGCGGTCGACTACGTGGGAGTCCAGCAACATAGCCATTATGCTAACTGCTGGTTCCCATGGGTAGTCTTTTATTAACTCTTTGTTAGAGCAGTTCCTGCGTAACTTAGATTTTTTATAAACATTATTTTCATGTATCAGGCCTGTTTATATGATGACTACCTACAAGGTAATGCATCTTTCACTGTTCTCAGTTCAAGTAAATATCAAGCAGAGCTGAGTTGTCTTGTCCATAGATGAATATGCTTTTACTGAATGTGTGATTTCAGGTGGTATGATTAGAATTATGCCTTCCTGAAAGCTGTCTCTTCTTTAGGCTTTCATGAAATAATACTCGCCTCATACTACCTGCCTACTGCAGAGTCATTCTCACTGCCTACCGCTGATTCCTCCTCTTATCCCCATTGCCAAGTACGGCCCAGAGCTCTTTCTTAGACTTTGTGTTCTTTGTCTGTACTTTCCCTGGTGACTGGAATATTATCATCCATATGCCATGACCATCAGACTTTTCCTGTACCCGTAACCATCCAGAGAGTTCCCAAGTCGTATATCTATTGTCTGTATCTCTGGTTTTATGTTTAATAGGCATCTCTAATTTAACCTGGACAAAGTAGAACTTTTCAGTGTCTTTCTAGAAAGTCATTTAGTACAATGCCATCATCTGTTTATTTACTTGAGCTGGAAATCTAGGAATCGCCCTTGATCCTGCCCTTCCTTTCACTTCTCAGTATGTGTTCTCTGTCAGTTAAGATCTGTTGGTTTTGTTATAGCATATGCCACAAATCATATCACTTCTCATAGTGGCCTGCCTACCAGCTGGAGTCATCATCAGTTCCCTTCTAAATTTCCATAGTAACTTCTCTTTACCTTCTATTTTACTTTATTTTTTTGAGTCCCCCTCCCCCCCACCCCTCCACCCCTGCATAGGGCATGTATGCTCAATGGAGAGAGACAGAGATGGACAGCGAGAAGAAAAATGAGAAGTCAACCCCACGAGTTGGGGGATGGCCACTGACACTGCAGTCTCTTCTCCATCCTCTTCCTGGGATTTAGAGCATGCACAAACATGCACCTAGCATGATTTTTATTTGAGTCCCCCTCCCCCCCACCCCTCCACCCCTGCATAGGGCATGTATGCTCAATGGAGAGAGACAGAGATGGACAGCGAGAAGAAAAATGAGAAGTCAACCCCACGAGTTGGGGGATGGCCACTGACACTGCAGTCTCTTCTCCATCCTCTTCCTGGGATTTAGAGCATGCACAAACATGCACCTAGCATGATTTTTAGTGTATAAAACAAGGCAGTTTAATTTGCGAGAAAATAGATTATTTTGCAAGATGGTTGTAATGCTTAAATGACAATGTTTAAAGAGATTCCTAGTGGTAATTATATTATTTTTACATGGTCATAATCTTATTGGAGAATGTAATGCCAATGAACTACTTTATAAAATTTGTGTTTTAACATAAAATATTATTTGTAGGTTTGAAATTTAAGTAAGTTTGTCGAGAAAAATCAGTGTAACCAAAAATCTGGAGTATTTTATGTATACTGAGTGTTGTTATTCTGCCACCTGGTGGATATCAACATATTATGTAGTGACATTCTTTTTCTTATGGTGTTTAATGTCTTAAATAAAGACTTCAGATAATATTAACAAAATTGCTATAATTGTCCAATTGAATCAGTCAAAAATATGTAAATTATTATTCTGAATAATAATTACTAATTACTATTTTCCAAATGAAATTTCTTTCTAAAGTTTTTTTTTTTTTTTTTAAGATGGAAGTTTTACATTTGACCTTAGTAGGAAATGCTGTGCGTATATGTAAGGAATTTTGTTTTTTACTATTATTTGTACTTTGCTATTATTTACTGATGAATCTTAGGTCACTGCTAATAATAACAGACTTTCTGAAATCATTATAAATGGCAAATAAATGCTTTTGTTTTTTGTTTTTTGCTAGAGGGTATGTGCATTCTTCAGAGAGAGGGGTAGAGGGAGAGAGAAGAAAAAGCACTCTCTAAGCGACTAGTCATGCTGCTGCAATCCTTTCTCTTCCATCTCTCCCTCTTCTTGAGATTTTGGGCACACATGCACACACACCAGGATGTTTCTCAAGCCACTGGGTCCAGGCCTCAAACCTCACTGTTGGCCATGTGGGATTCGGCTGCCTCAACCACCAGGCTGCAGAGCCAGCCCAGCGATTTTTCTTTTTTTTTTTTTTTTTTTAATTTAGGCATGCCAAAATAGATTCTCGTATTAGTGATAACAATTTTTGGTGTATAGTTTCTATTAGAGTATTCAGATAGAAAACACAATAAAAATGGGTTAGGAGGTATTTCTGTATATTTGCTCTTAATATTATTTTCATTAAAACAATTAATAAAACTAGTTGTAAATGTTCCTTAAATAGAGATTCTATTATTTTAGATAAAATATAATGCTCAACTTTAGTACTGATCTTAATTTTCTTTAATGTTATTGTGAGTGGACAGTAAATAGCTGATTCTTCTAAGGAAACTGACAGATTTCACTTGCATTGATAGTGTTTCAGTAACTCTTGGTCCTAGGTTGTTTAATATTTCAGTATATAAGTAAAACCAGTTTATATGGTTGGAAAAAATAAATTAGGCAACTGTTCACTATTATATTTTAGCTATAGAACAGGATAATATCTAGTATCTTCTCTATTTAAAACTTTTTTACCTTTAGGTTAATTCATTCTTTTTTTTTCCATGAGCGAGACAGAACAAGACACAGAGATGTACCCCTAACGGAGTCTTAATGCCACAGTCTACCTCTAGCTTCCTCCAACCCCAGTTCACGGGTATACTGTGGGAGGCATGTACCTGGCATGGGCCTGGCATACTGAGGGAGGTCCTTGGACAAGAACCAAGACCCTTCTCATGTGGTTCCGCCTTGTAGAGTGTCCTGTTTTACTGCTGCACCTCCGTCTGTCCCAGACTACTTTTTGTCTTTCAGAGAGATTTTTGCTATAGGGCACATGCACTCCACAGATAGAGAGACAGAAAGTGAGAAATCACCCCCTGGGGTGATGACCACCCTGCAGTTCCTTCTCCATTCTCCTCTTGGAATTTTGGGGCAAGTATGCACATGCACCCGGCATGAGTTTTAAGCTGCCAGGTCTGGAACTCGAATCACAGTCAACTACATGAGATGCCATTACACCATCTGCTGGTCCCCTTTTTTTTGTTTGTTTGTTTTTAAATACATTTATTTCTACCACAAGCCAGAGAGATGGAGAGACAGCACCTCCAGCAGCGTCTTCATGCCATGATTGACCGTGAGCCTCAGCCAGTCCTGGATTGTGGGCACACAGGCATAGTGTGTTCAGAAAGGTCTCTGGACACTAGCCCCAAATCTTCCTCTATTGGTCAGACTCACAGAGTGTGCATTACCACTGCCCCACTGTCCAGTCCTTCAGCATCTTCACTCTCACATACATACTGGTTTAAGCCTTTTTACACTTATAACATGTGGACTACTTTTATAGTGGTCCTTAGGTTTACTTAGTTACCTTATATTTGCAGCAAGGTAACTATATTCAGTTCTCACTTTCGTTAGCTCAGTACAAATAAAGTACAATTTTAAGATAAATATGTCACTCAAAATGTACCGTCATCTGTTTAATGTCGATTCTAGTGAAATGAATTAAAATATGTTTATTAAAGTGATTTTGATGGTGCCCTTATAATCTACATTTGACAACTTTTTTGTGTTCTCTTTCTGCCTAGTCTGTGCAGATAATAATCATGTCCGGACGTGGACAGTAACACGATTCAGAGGAATGATCTCTACTCAGCCGGGTTCTACGCCATTAGCGTCATTTAAGATACTGTCTCTGGAGGAGACAGAAAGTCATGGTAGCTACTCTTCTGGAAATGACATAGGTGGGTTACTGTATTTGGGGATATTTTCAAGTTATCCCATGGGTACTTCAGAAGAAGTGTGTCAACTGAGAAACCTAAAAATGAATTTTAAATATAAATTTTCCATTTTAATTTTGAAACTCACTCACAATAAATGTAATGCATTTTTCTGAATAAGCTCTGTGAACTTCACTAAATTGTAGTATTGGAGCATGTTTCATTGTTTAAAAAGCTATGGGAGTGGAACAGGCAGATGGTGTAGCAGTTACATCGCTGGACTCCCACATAGCCAACCGTGGTTTTGAGTCTCGGACCTGGTGGCTTCAAAATTGCACCAGTGTGTGTGTGTGTGTGTGTATGTGTGTGCCCAAGATTCTGGGATGAGAATGGAGGAAAAGAGATTATGGCATGGCCATCCCCCCGGGGGTTGATTTCTCAATTGCTTCTCACTGTGTCTGTCTCTCCCTGGCAAGTGCATGTACCCTAAGGCAAAAACTTCTTAAACAAAACAAAAAAAAACCATGGGAGCATATTTTGTGTTTCACTAGTGTTTCCTCATTTAAGTGTCATCTCCAAATGCTAACCAATTTGTTTATAATTAAAAGCCATTATAGTTGCATACATTTGAAACTTGAACATTTTTTTGTTAATAATCTACTGAAAAGTTTTTATATATCATTATTATTATTATTTTATTTGACCAGAGAGAAACAGAGAGAGAGAGTGTGTGAGAGAGAGAGAGAGAAGGAGCACGAGAAAACAGGCTGCCACGTCTGGGACTCAAACCACGGTCGGCCATGTGGGAGTCTAGGTCTCGTGCCCTAACCACCATGCTACCTGCTGACCCCCTTAATGTCCTGTAGTGAAAGTCATTTTGATGGCATTGTAATTTTATTGGGAAAGTTGGTTTTATTTGTCTATATTCCATACATCTATACATATACATATCCCATACATACACATGTATATACGCAGTCATCATCGAGACAGATTATTTCCCTCAAGGATCTACTTGAAAGAACCTATACTGTACATGCACTTGTATTGCACTGTCCTTCTAATAGTTCTGCAGGACCTATTGCTTAACTATTGCTTAACTAATGTGCCTTTCTGATCATCTTGTATCAAACTAGAAATTATAGCTGGATGGAGACTAGGTAGGAGTATATTAGAATTGATTTTCATGAAACTGTTTGATTTATATCCATCTAGACTATGCTTCCATAATAAAGGTTTCCAAATAGTTATCTTTAAAAATATAAGCTATTGGGCCAGCAGGAGGTATGGAGGCTTAGGGCCATTGGATCCCACATGGCTGATCACGTGGTTTGAGTCCCAGACCCGGCAGCTTGAAAACCACTCCAGGTACGTTTGTATGCATGCCTGGAATCCTAAGAAGAGAATAGAGGAGAAGAGAAGGAATTCCCACATGGCTATTCCCCTGTGAAGTTGATTTCTTACTTTCTCTTTCTCTCTCACAAGTGCACATGTCCTATTATAGAAACTAAAGAAGAAAAAAGGGAAAAGAATATATAAGCTCTTTATGAGAATTGTTCTAGCATGGGTTAATATTTTTTAAAAAAGAATTGCTCAGTGGTGTCATTTTTTAGCCATTGTTGTGTGATCCCTTTTCCCTA